TGTTATTTTTTTGGTTTAATAATATATTATAATATGTGACTACTAAAAGTTTAGTTTCCGTTTTTTCCATATTTTGCACAAAAGAATAGTTCTGCAAAGTAGGGTAGTTATATTTTTTATTCAAAATTTTGAAATTAATTTATTTTATATAAGTTTTTTTATTTTTTTATTGTTATTTATATATTCAATATTTGTTGTAACGACTACAAACTACAAGGCAACTAAATGGCTTAGAATTATGAAATAAAATTTGAAGTAAAATTAATAATTATTATTATTCATATACATACATTTATGTATGTATATGTGTAAGTAGATATGAGCATGCTAAAACTAAAATGGGAGAACATTTTTGTAAATTAATAAAGTCAATAAACATTTATATTAAAGATTTAAATTTAAAAGAATAACAATATCGTAGAATTTGAATAAGTTATAGCCTCAAAAAAGTAAGAGATAACCTATAAATGGTCAGTTCCAGAACCTACAAGAATGTACAATTTTCTACTACGATAGCAAGTTTTTCTTTATGATATCGGAAAAATAGTAAACATTTTGAGATTCTGCAGTACGAGGATAGACCAAAAGTATACCATAACTGAGAGATCGTCCGTCAAATACTTTCAAGAGCAAATATCGGATATTAAAATAGAATAACGAAAGCCGAATTTTGACTAATCGACGTTTTGTTTAAAAAAAAATTAACTCGTGCATTCAACGCCTCTTGATCGACTTTCGATTTGTTTTTTTCGGTGTTTGGTTTATTTTCACTAGAAGTGCATGGCACCAAACATTTCCGAAATTTCGTTTATCTCTTGGCAACAATTTACATTAGCATCCAGATCGGGGGAGAGTCTCGAAGGAAATTCTATAATCACAAGAGCGACGTGGCGCCCAATCTCTAAGTCTTAGCTTCCTACCTACCTTGGCTTCCATAACACAGGAGTGTTAGGCGACCTCGTGTTCATCAGTATTTCAGAGTTTGCAGTTAGGTTACCGGTTGTATTAGAACGGAGCCTATAATTAAAAGACCGACGAGGCGAGACTGGATCCCAATCTCTATGTTACTTCCTATTTAAAGTGACATTCTTAAAGCAGTGACTATATGTGACCTCGTGCCCATCAGCATTCAGGGCTGTGTTAGAACGGAACCTGGACACCTTAACACGTTTTCAGACTTAGATTCAAAGTCCTTGCCATGGCAAGAGGCTATGTCATGATCGATCTCAAATCTCACTTGCCAAATATCCTCAGGAATGCTGCTAACAAAAAATTCCCGTTTAAAACAAACAAACCAATTAATAATAACATCTTTTTGACTGATGTTGTTGTGGCACCATCAGTCTAGAACTTTACAAGCACTGCTAAAACGTCCATCCTCCCATTGACCACTGACATTAACGCGAGCCTGGGGAAACATACTGAACTTCTCCTCAATCTAATCCTTTTTTTTCGTCTTAGCCAATTGAGTATCCCGATCCCCTTCTAAGGTGATCTGCCCTTGTCGGACCAGGATGGCGAATGGATACCAATGCGGTCAACACAAGGGCATTAGAGCTAACTATATAACACAAGGAGGATCAGCAAAATGTAAGGCACAATTGCAAGGAAGATTCTGACAACAAATATTTAGCGGAGAGCAATTAAATTCTGCAGCCGGTTCATCGAGATTGGAAAGGAGCACGATAACCAATAAGATTCCTATAAATCAAAAGGAATTTCCAGTTTATTCGGAAGTTCCCTAGCACTGCGAGTGTCTTTTGGATTGAAAGAAATCCGTCGTCGCACGCAAAAGTGTTTGAAGTAAACCTTACAATGAAGGTGAAAACTCGACTGGGAAAATTACTTCAAGAATCTCCAAAAAAGGGGATCCCTGAATGAACCGAGATCCTTGACACCATATACAATTGCGAAGGTAAGGGAGTACCCAAGCCGGCTAGAAGGGGAGCCCGTAAAAATACCTACAGACAACAACCAACTGTGTCAATGGCACTGTGACCTTCCTCGGAGCCACTACAAACCCAACCAACCCAACGTTGTATGCTAAGTTACACCGACGAAGATCCCAACTTAAGTGGTAAAGAGTAGGCGAAAGTCAAACCCAAATGTTTCGAAGAAATGGTACCCAATATCGGAACCGAAACAGGGTGACACTGCTACTCAACAGTCGGCCATCAGGAAACTGAGTAGTGACAATCATTGGCAGAGCTGATCATTACGGGTACATCGGCGGTCAAATCCCAAAATGGAGAAGTCCAAGCAAAGAGTATTCGCGAAAGCAGCATCGACTTTTGGGGCTTCAACATAACCAGTGACGGTTTAGCAACCTGCCGTGAAAGATCTACGCAGTTGCTTGTAGCACAGGAAACTGCTTCGTATGTTTCAGTTATATAGACGAAGATCTTAGTTACGAGTGGTGAGTAGAAGGCAAAAGCCAAACACACTGTCCTGAAGCAACGGTACCAAATATCCTAAGATCCGAACCATCGGTCATCGGGAAACCGACCAGCGGCAATCATTTACAGCAGTGATGCTCATAAGACTTGCATAGGTATTTGATTGTTACTCTCCCGCCTATGCTAAACAAACGGAAAATCTAAATTGAGAGAGAATACGTGTGGTTTGTTGTCACGAAAACGTAAAGGGCTGATCAACACTGATTTACAGAGCAGAACACCGTGAGTGCATCAGTGATGCTCATCAGCTGATTGACAAATCCAAACAACCACCAAAAGTGACGAACGCGAAAGTTTCGTCCACGCAACCAGTTACTGTGGAAATGATGCGGGTCTGCGGATGGGCAGTAACTTACCGCAAAGGAGAAGGCGAAAGTCAAAGCGTCAGTCTCCAAACAAGGGTACCAAAGATCGAAGCCAAGCATAATGACACACCTACTTAGTCAAAGGTTCTCGATGACCGACGGTTGACAGACCTGATATCGACGCGAACCAAGAAGTGCTCAAAGCAGTCAACGCAGCCAGTGACTGTAAAAAGAGGGTCTGCAGATGAGAGACCTTCGCAATCGGTTACGTCGTCGAAGACATCTGATCGGAACCGGAACTGGGCGACACTGCTATCAACAAGGGTTACCCAATGACAGACGAGTGATAATTATTCACCAAGCTATTCCCGATGAGTGAAGTTCATTGGATCTGATATGTTTCTTTATGGTGAGATACGAATGAGGTAGTAGAATGTTGGACCAATTTCCCGTTTGTAATAGGAATCTCCTAACCTAGCCTCCGAGAAAACCTCTCTCCCAGGGAGAAAGTCAATAGATAGTAATAAATCCTACCTAGGTACTCCATTTAGCGCAGCTGACTACCCGATTAAATGTCAAAGTGCATAGCTTGAATTCAACGTTCAATGTTGCCAACCATAAGTAATATTACTATTAATTAAATTTGACAGATGCTCAACTAAGAAACAGATGCTTTTGTTTTTGATACATCATCTTATTATTGGATCATGATATTCCCTCATATAAAATCGTTTCGATTCAATCGTGGCACTGAGCCTGTTTCGACCGCAGATCATAAGTTAGTACAAACATTAATTTAAATTAAATCATTTTAAGGTAGATTTACAATTTCAGGTTGACATTTAAATTGTCATGTCCTTCTTATTAATGTTCAATAAATGACAATGTTTAAAAAATACGTTCCATGTAAAAGTAGCATAACAAACTGTCAGATAATAATCGTGTGAACATTACCTAAAAAAACTATTTTGACGTTTTTTTCTTGTAAATTAAAAAATAAATAACATATATGTTTTAAATTAAAAAAAATATTTCTCCCATTTTTTAGTGTTTTAAAAATAAACAATAATCTATATATATATAATTTTATTAATTTTTTTAATTTAATGTTTCTTTTATCTAAAGTTTACTTAAAATTAATACAAAAACAATATATTCGTTTAATATTAATTAATGGCAGACTAGAAAAGGCAGTTGACAGAAAACAGATTGAGGTTAGAGACGGAGAGAGAGACAAATTATGTGGGAGATCATTCGTTTTATAAAATAAAAAAACCCATTAAGGGTAATTATTATTGATTAAATTTATAATAACTAATTAAATTATTACAATAACAAAAACATATAATTAACAAAATTGTTTTTTTTTTAATTGATAACAAATAACAAAAGAAATTATAATTGTTAATAAATTATTTGAAATTATTTTGTTGAACACAAATTAATTTGAGAAGAATAATATTAATTATTTTTTTATTTTCAAATAATTTTCATAACCCAAATAATTAATAAATGTTTATTTTGTTTTATTTTTCTTTTCAGTTTACTATCACTTAGTTGTTGGTTTTTTATTCTTATTCTTATTATTGATTTTTATTTTTTTTTCTAAAAATGTATTTATTTATTTTTTTGTTTGTTTTGTTTTCCTTTATGAAAAAATCTTCTTTTCTCTAAATTGTAAAATGTTTCTCTTAAACGTTGTTGTTTATTAATTTGTTTTTATTTTCAATATTTATTTTCCATTTATATTTCAGCACTTTAGTTTGAATTTTATTAAATATTTTTTTTTGTTATTTTATAATTTCTTTCAATTGTTCCAAAAAATGGTATTCAAATTGGAATACTCCATTTTTCTTATTTTTTAAAACTAAATTTAATCCAAAAGCCTTCCATGCACTTTTATTTTAAATTTAGCCTTTGTTGTTATATTCGTCTTGGCTTAGTATCATTTTATTTCATCTATAAAATTTACAAAATTAGTTTTTCTTTTCCCCTTTTTTCTATATTTGTTTAATTTTATTATAAGTATGTATATGTCGTCTTAGTTTTAATTATTTTTTTTATTCATTCTGTAGTTCTTGTTTTTTTTTGTAGTTCATTTAGCATGTTATGAAAACCATCTAAGTATTTTTTCTCTGTTTTGTTTTCTTTTATTTTTCAATATTTTTGCTCATAAAATTCTTCTTATACTTCGTTTTCATTTTCTATATATAATATATTATTTGTTTTTATCTTGTTTTTTGTTTTTGTATAAAGTTTCTACACAACTATGGGTTCGTCGCCATGGAGATCACACGAGCCAATATTTTCACCTTGATATGTTGAGAAATCTTTTATCAATGCATTTGGCTCAGCTCCAAATTGTATATCCTGGAGGCAACCTTTGAAGGGTTGATCATAACGGCCTTGGGTACGTTTACTCACCGATTCCATGTTCGGAAAACCACCTGTTTAAAAAAAGAAGAGAATCAAATAGAGGTTTTAAAATGATAACGTCAATATTAAGGTATAATTTATAATAAAATAAATCCCATCCATTATTAATTTTTATTTTGTTATCACAATTTTCAGAGTCTCTAAATTTTATTCCACATTTATTTATTCGATTAAGTTGGCAACACACACATATGTCACACACAGAGATGGGAGTTGAGAATCAATAGAGAAATAGTATAACAAGTGTAAGAGTACATTTACATATACAATTTTTTATTCAAATACACCCTAACCGATTGACATGCCTTGAAATGACATAAATATCAGTAAGCTGAAGATTTTTAACATATACACAACGAATGTTACTCGCTACGCCGATGACATCGATATAATGGGTCGAACATTGAGAGCGATAACAGCCACCTTTGAACAAATTGAGATGGAGTCTGCAAAAGTGGGTCTGGCAGTAAACGACGAGAAGACCAAGCTGATGGTATCAACGCGCAAGACGTTCAGTAGACTCGGACCAACTGTGGAACTTGAAAACTACAGCTTCGAGGTAGTTAAAGATTTTATATACCTTGGCACCGCCATAAATAAAACGAATGACATCAATTTTGAAATTCGGAGAAGGATTGTGATGGCCAACAGATGCTACTATGGTCTAAGTAAGCAGTTTAGAAACAAAGCCACCTCCCGCCAGACCAAACTCACACTCTACCTACTTTATAAGGATTTATTTTTATTATATATGTAATGAAAATGACAATTTAAACCCACTGGGTTAACGAAATCCAGTGCAATGTAAATGTGCTATTATTCTGGCTTATTAAATTAATGAAATGTGTAAAACGGCATATACATTAGAACTTTTTACCGGGTTAACCTACTTCATGAGGATTTATTTGACATATATGCAATGGAATTGACAATTGTAACCCACTAGGTTAACAAAATCCGGTTAAATGTAAACGTACTATTATCCACATTTATTTCAATGTGATATGCATTTAAACAGGTATATGTAAACATAGTTTTACTACGAAACAAGTACATCGTTCATTTTCTTCCAATTGACATCATTCATTCCATTAATAACTCTTTTCTGTCAATTGACAACACTGTTACTGTTGTTAAGCCAGCTGTTTGTAATGGTGAAGTAATTAACCTAAGCCAGGCATGCTCGGCCATATACGCTACCGTAACTGAGGGTCGATGGGTAAACACATTTTCTCTTTCTTTCTCTTTACGTCAGTCGTTTTTAGTGGTGAATTCTCAGTTACGCTCGCACACACTTGCTCTCAATTTAATTTTGCCCAACACTGACCTAAGCCACAAAACAGGTTTAAGAGTGGGAGAGAGAGTCAGACCCAACAAAAGAGAACGTGTTTGTACAAAACACAATACATATCCCCGTTAAGATAAACTGTCAAATTAAAAAATGTTTAAGTGGTTTCAAAACAGCTGTTTTCTTTAAGACCTTTTTCTTCTGGTTACTCTCAAAACTATGGTCAATCAAAACAATTGAAACGTGACGGTCTTATTAAGTGAGAGATTACAAACAAAACGAAATTAAGTGAATGAAAAAAAAACGACCACTAAAATAATAATATTCAAGCAAAGTGTTATGTGAAAGAAGTGTTAAAAAAGAAACGAAAAAAATAACGTGGAAAAACTAAAAGTTATAATCAAAAGCTAATTAGCAAGAAAAGTATTAATGTCCAATGAAGAAGAAGATGAAGAAGGGGCAATGAAAATCAATTACAATTGCAGTGAACCAACTAATGCCACAAAAGACAGGTACATACAGACAGACAGATCATTGCTTCGAGTGTCAGATTTTTCTCGTGTGATGAACTTTTCCATATTAAAAAAACAACAAAAACAAAACAGAGACTAAACAAAGCAGCTGTTTGTCGTTGGATGTCTGCAATTGAATGAGATATAGACGAAGTGTTTCTTTCTTTTCTCAGGTAATTTAATCTTAGCCAACATAACGTACTGCTAGTAAATAAATGTATATGTGTTTGTACAGAACCTTAACGGGGCCATAAGTAGCAGCCATTGCTAATGTTAAACACAAAATCAACCATCTTCCCCAGTCATAAACCTTTTTAGTCATGCAACTTCAAGTCGCGTTTATTTTCGTTCTGTTCTGATTTGTTCTACCATTCTTATTGGATATTTCATGGTTTGTCGTGTTGTTATTTGGCTTGGGAGCAGTGCTGCCAGTTAAATTTCATGAAAAATCGTCAATTTTTCAGAAAAAAATCGGCATAATCGGCATTTGTATTTTTAAAAATCGGCAAAAAATCGGCAGCATATAATTTATAAATAAATTCATATTTTTTTGGTTTATAACAAATCAATATTGTTTATTACATTAAAAAAGATAACAAATTCAATTCTGTATAAAAAAATAACATAAAAGATTAATTTTTCTACAAAAAATGTAGATTTTTCTAAAATATAGTAATTATTATGTACACTAGTGAGATCTTTCAGATTTACGTATAACACAGTGTGGTATTAAGGTCATAAAAAATTAGAAACTAGTACATATTTTTATTACAAATTTTTAGTATTTCATTATCAATTTTGATATTAAAACAATTTGAATTATTTAGTTTGAGGTAATATTAAGAATAAAGAATCCCTTCCAATGAATCATTCTCAAGTGAGCTTCTAATTTTAGTTTTGTTAAGGTTTACCTGACTAAAAATTCGTTCCACATTTGCTGTGGAATGTGGAAGAACCATAATTCTTTGTACAAATTTAGACAAAACTGGAAAAGCTAAATTGGAGCCCCACGATTAATTTCGGAAATTTTTTTCCGAAAAATTTTTAAATTATATTCTGCATTTTCAAAAATTTCTTCAAAATTCAGAAAGTTTAACTCCCTAAACTCGGAGTCTAAAGATTTGCCTTATTCGATGTAAAATGTAAACTAGACAGAGTACAATGCTGACAAAAAATGCAGATATCTAAGCCATTGAAAACGGCTGCGGCGAGTCGCCGATAGTTATAATGATTTAAAGCTGCCAATTTTATATGTTTGTATGGTAACGCCGTATTAAATTAAAAAGTTAGACAATTTGTGTCGATTGTTGAAATATCGGCAATTCTGAGGCAAAAATCGGAAAATCGGCATTTTCCATTTTTAGAGTGAAAAATCGTCAAAATGCCGATAAATCGGCAAATATGGCAGCCCTGCTTGGGAGATCCATTTCTTGTTGATGGTTAGGTAGAAGATAGGGAGAGAGAGAGAGAGTGAGATCAAAAAGGTTTGTTTACCTTTTGTGCTCAAATAAAACACTGCGTTTTATTCTCTCGTAATTCTTTGAGCTGGAGTTATAAACAGTGTTGCCAATGTAGTGAGTTTATTAATTGGGATTCGGCTGTTTTTGTAGGTTTTACATTATGCGGTATTTTTGATTGAATCCTAAAGGAAATAGTCGCGATGAAAGTCCTTAAATACCTAAAATATGCAAATATTTTGAATATTTTTACTCGAGCCGAGGAATAATGTAAAAATCAGAATAGATTTAACCAACCTCAGCATCAAAACATAAGGTTCCACAAAAATAGGAATGACAGCGTCACCCTGAAAAAATAGTAAGACTAAATAAGCAAGGACGCCAACCACTGCACAAAACTCTAGAAGTCGTTGTTTCTAGGCAGGGTTAGATGGCGGCTCCATCACCTAGAATAGGCTACGGTATGCTAACCACCTACTTCGTTATTAAAATGACAACGGAGCTAACACAAGTATTAATGGAGTAAATGGTGATCATGGGCAGACATTCATAATCTTTAATGCGAAATATTTGCCAATATTTGATAAAAAATTTCTATTAATAGAAGATTGTTGCAGGTTCTGGAACAGATCAATAATTTCAGAAAAATGAGTAGAAAAATGTACAAAAAAAAAAAAAAAAAAATGCTAAAAACTAGGCCCGTATTATACAGGGTGAGATAAAAAAACTGCAACAAAGTCAAACGCCATAATTTGAACATTTTTATAAAGTTTATTGGAATGAAAGCTAAAAATGTTGGAAATAGCTTTAAATTTTAGAATAAATTTTGATTTGTTTGAATAGGTCACCTTTGGCACGAATTATAACCTTCAAATGAAATTTTGGCCCATTCCCGGCGAAGCGCTTAGAGGTGATCGACACTTTGGCATTTTTTGTGCTTGCTACAAAATACCAACGGATTCCGGAGATTTTGGTGGCCAGTGTGCGCCGGAAATGAAGCAAGGAACTTCATTCTTGGGTGGCGCGTGCTGAGTCCTGTTGGAATTTCGAAGGTCTGTGGCCAAAATGTTTGCGTGCCCAAGGCTTTAATACTCCCTCCAGAATATTTTCACGATAATATTTGGCGTGTATTTTGATGTCACGATCGATTAATATGAGCGGAGAGCGACCATCGATTGTTATGGCTGCCCACCATGGCCGGCGCTTGTGTTCTGGTGGCCAACCGAAGGTGCACATTTTCAGCTGACCTCTTTGGCAATAAACACGATAATTTTGTTTGTGTACAAACTGCTGGACAACGAATGTTTTCACATCGGAGAATACCAAAGCGAAGCAACTGTTTAGCTCTTTTAAGTCTATTTTCTTTCAATATTTGCCGAATGGAATATTGCGATATGTTCATTTCACGAGCCATTTTTCAAACCATTTCTGCTGATGTTGCTGTTTTCTTCCGTCCACTTCCTTGACGTCGGGTTATGCTACCAGTATCACGGTAACGAGCGATGGTACGAGACGCAAACGATTTATTCACATTTAAATGCTGGAGGGCGCTAACGAAGCCACTTGTGGGTTTCCAACCAAATATAAATATATCCCACTATCACGCTTGAATACCATCACGAATATATATATATATATATTTTTGGAAAGTCCTCACCAAAATGCTTTTGTACGCTTGTAAACAATATAATGAGCTGTCACTGGAATACTTTTATTGCATACGGAATGACAAATATAATAGTACGTTTACATTT